ATTTAGTTGCTCCTCTTTTTTTATGCAACATCTAATTTGATTTCCTGATGTCGGCATAGTGGCAGGTGCTGTAAATATGTCACTTAACATGTCGATTCAGTTCAGAGGGATAATCGCTTTTCCATTTCATCTCTAACAAGGGTGGAATAATCTGGACTTAATCTATAATAAGCAAATCCAATCACCGGAGCAAATGCCTGTTGTGATTTGAAGTGCTGCCAGACTTTGATCACCTCCACAGTAAATTGATTAGTAGTGATCTACTGGTCTCTTAAAACGCTGATCCTGGCAAAACGACTTCATGTATTTCTTTTAAGATGAGATTGTGGTCGAGCTCCATGAACACACCCACCTACTTACACACACACACACACACACACACACACACACACACACACACACACACACACACACACACACACACACACACACACACACACACACAGATGCAGAAGCAGAAGCTGCAGCAATGCTTTAACACTTCTAGTGCATCCTGCGTTATGTTCAGCAGGATTAGCGTTTTTATTTTATTTATTCATTTTACATTTTCCTGACTTGCTCTGATCCCTGTAGGAAGAAAAAAAGCTGGAACTGAACAACTTACTGCGTCAAAGTTTATTTACGCAGCATTCGGGACAGTCCTGCATACCCCTCCTATTGTGGAGTTAAAGCCATTGATTTCAAACTGGTTTTAGTGGTTCTTGAGCCAGAAACCTGAGCAGCTCCACATTAAACAGCACTTTATAACCCTCCTCTGGTCAGAAACTGCACTTAACAGTTTTGTGGGAGGTCGCTAGATTTACAACAAGAGTTGTTTACCTGTTTATTTTTTAACTTCTCGGTGGCCTATGGTAGAGTGTTCGCCCTGGGACTGAGAGGCCGGGGTTCAAATCCTGGTCGGGTCATACCAAAGACTTTAACAACGGGTCCCAATGCCTCCCGGCTTGACACTCAGCTTTAAGGGGGTGGATTGGGGAGTCAAACCACCAAATAGTTCCCGAGCGCTGCCACACCTGCAGCTCACCGCTCCCCACAGGGATGTGGAGATGAATTTCACCAGTGTGTGATGAATTAATGGGACTTTAACATTAACCTTACAGTGCCGGTAGCTCATTTAAATGCTAACAGTTAGCTTTTTCAGTTCACTGACCGTCAATTAAAAAACACATAAAAAGAAGAAGAAATGTGCCTTTTTGTTGGCAGCATGGCAGAGTCTGGATCTACAAGTAAGAGAGTAATGTCTCTGAAGGTGAAGCAAGGAGCTTTTGCCAGATCGAACATCGGCACGGCCTACTCTCATCTAAAAAAGTAGCAATTCAGTTCAATTCAATTTCTATTTATTCCTTTATAAGACACCTTCTACCACCTTAGCGGAGACCCAAGGTGCTGAACAGGACATAAAAACCAGAATAATAATAAAAACAACATAATTAAAGAAAAATTCGTAAAACTAAAATAGACAAATAAAAGCAACTAAAAGCTGCGATACAAATGATAAAAATATAAAAGCCAGTGCCAATATTGGGGAAAGCTAGCCGATTAATCAATCAATCAATCAATCAATACTTTATTAATCCCAGAGGGAAATTAGAGTTTCAGTACACACAGTTCAGAGATCAGACATACATGGGCAAGACACATGACAAGAATTGGTGACTGTGGTCATTCGCAACCCGAGATTAAAGTGGGTTTTAAGGCGTGATTTAAAATCCTGAAGAGAAGACTCTTGCTTCACTGTTGGGGAGCTCGTTCCTCAGTGTTGGGGCCATTGCTGAGAAGGCCCTGTCCCCCCTTGATCTTAGTTTAGAGCGGGGAACCTCCAGCAGCTCCTGCTCAGCAGAGCGAAGGGCACGAGCAGGAACACGCAAAGTAAAGCAAGTAAAGTTCTGCTTTTAGTTTATTTATTTATTTATTTATTAACTGCCAATATTCATACATTCATAATAACATGCTAAATATAACACCTTTTCTGACGACACCTGTATCTGCAAAGCCTGCGGCAGGGTTGCTTATGACAGTTGTTATTCTGCTTTCAACCAGTAGGTGGAGAAGTGAGAAACGTATTGAGTGTTGCTGTAAATTCAATGTTTAGGAGAGTTGTTGTAGGAAGATTTATTTTGGAATAAAGTTGATTTAAAGTTGCAATGTGTAGATTTTACCATTAATCTCTGGAAATATCTATTGAAATGTTGTTGGAAATGGATTCAAAGACGCCCAGTTGTAGAAAACATTTGGCAGCCTCGTAGAAATATATCCATAAAGATATGAATAAAAATACATTGGGGGGTAAGTCTCTTGGCAAAGCCATATTAGACGCCCTGTTCCCATCTACTGCCTGTGAGGACAAAATGCTTTACACTACAGTGTATCATTCATCCATTCATCCACTGATGGTGATGAGCTACTATGTAGCCACAGCTGCCCTGGGGCACACTGACGGGGGGAGGCTGCCGAGCATGGGCGCCGCCGGTTCCTCCGACCACCGCCAGCAGGCAAGGTAGGTTAAGTGTCTTGCCCAAGGACACAATAGAAGAGTTTTCTGTCCGGAGCCGGGATCGAACCTGCAATCTTCCGATAACTGGACAACCCGCTCAACCTGTTGAGCTACTGCTGCCCCCAGACCTCTTCACTTGTTGCCAGTGATGAAAGGGAAAGTCTGATGAGCTTGTCGCTTTGCTGGAGGTTGAGCTCCCAGGGATTTTTGACCCTAATGGCCATCTGTTGGTACTCAAACACAAAAATACTGCTTGCTTGCAGTGATTTATGTACGGACTGCCCCCTATCGCCAGGGAACATAAACACCAGCGTCACTTTAATCTACTTTGGTTCTGACTTCGCTAAAACGAACCTCTAGTTTGATTAGAAATAAACTATTTAGATTATTACCTCGAGGTTAAATCGTTCCTTTTTATGCCACATTATTCAAAGCAAATCTTTAGCAAAAACGGTTGTAATTTTTTGCTCAGTTTAGTCTGTTAAATTTGGACATTTATTTACCTTGAGCAGTTCTTTGAATCCATGAACTTTATCTCTGCTCCGTATTTTATTAATTTTATTTGTCGGCTTGGCTTCTCGTGGTTTTGTGGGTTTTATCAGCGGAGAGGCTCTGCTGAACCAGAGGAAGCTCGACAAAGACGGCGCAGCATAAAGAGCTGTGAAGCCTTTTCAAAGCCGAACACTCGCCTTTGAGAAAATTAGTAGTTTTGAGTCAAAGTTCAGCAGATGTTAACATCTCTTTCTCCTTGCTGTCAGTCTTTACTCCACTCTGATCATATTTTGAACGACAAAAGGAGGAACGAAAGAGACGGAAGCGGTTTGATTTATGCTTTAGGGCCTTGAGGCATTCAGAGCTCTGGTTTTAAGGTCATTAGCAACAAATGAATTGAGGCAGACTTTGATATTCTTATGTTTTCACCTGCTTTTCTTTAAAACTTGCATTGACCTTTTTTTTTAACCACAGATTCTCATATGTTTTGATTTCTTTTATTGCGTTGAGTGTGCCCTGGTTTCCTCATGTTCTCTCTCTCTGCACAAGTGCCAAATGTCACATCTTAGAGGCTCGGTGAAATCGATTCTGGGTTAAAGCTTTTAAAGCAGCCTGGCTTTTTATGAACTAAAGACAGGCCAATTGATGCTGAGGAGGAGCTTTTATGTTTTATTTTTTTATTTGATGATTTCATTTATTCAACCCTGTCGGGCACCTGTTAAATTATGGATTGGTTTACAGTGGCACTGCTGTTGCTGCCAGGCGAGAGTGACAGATTTGGACAAGTTGACAGGAAAGTGACACAGGACCAGAGGGGACTGAGGGCGTTTGTTCTTAGAAATGTTCAGTTTTACGTTGCCTTTTTTAAAAAAAGCACATCTTTTATTCATGTTCAGTTGCCTGGGTGTCAAGAGTTTTGTCAAGCCTCTCGTTGTTCTGTTAACCTCGTCTCTGTAAAACATCCTGTCGCTGTTTCTTCTGTTAAACATCCCTTACAGGCCACAGGGAGCAGGGAGGAGACGTGATAAAAAGACTGTAGGATAGGAAAACGTCTTTATTCCAGGTCTTGCCTAAATTTATATATACTGTATAAATATATGTATATGTTTACAACAAAGCTAGATA